CCCTCCCGTTTAGGACAAATTAACCTCCCGTTGACAAAGCAAAACCCGATTCACAAATCAAATTACCCACAGCTCGTTTGCGGTACCTGTGCCGTTCATTAATGACCACTGTGGAATGCAGATGTGCAAGCGGCGAATACAGCGCATACCTGCAGAAGCCTATAAGGCCAGTTTACATGTGCCCACGTTGGGTCTGTGATACAATGGCCCTCTGCAAGTTTAAATGCTGAAAACCTCAATAAATCCTGGCTCACCAGCATGTCTATGACAAAAAATACCCTGGATGTGGTCCGACCTTGTCAGATCTGGGAGGATAGGCAGGGTTGATATTTTTTAGCACGTGTATCGGAGGCTTGGAATACCGGGTGTTCAAGGCCTGGGCTGTGAGGTCACCAGGTGATGGCAGTACACGATTGGATTCTGGAATCTCAAACACTCGTTGATGTAATTGGCTACACAGTCCAATGTAGGACCCTACTAAAAATTACCCTTGAGCTCGGTGAAGCTTTAATTTATAAATAATAAATCGCATTATGTTTTTTCACTGTGCAATTATTACAATCATTATTCACGCTACTTCACTAACATTACGTCTTAATCACTGCAATGAAATGCGAATGGGTGAAGTGCACAATTAACTGCAACTAATACTACTAACGGACTGCCATACCCAAGGCTTTCCACCAGTGCTGGTGTTTGCTTTAATATCGACAGTACAAGGTATCCCTCTGTAAAGTCACGGAGAAAAATAATCATAGATTACGACGTTTCGATCGCCACACAAGCGATCGTCCTCCTGAGGTCCTCCTGAGGACGATCGCTTGTGTGGCGATCGAAACGTCGTGATCTATTATTATTTTTCTACCGAAAGAACCAAAGAAATATGGATTCCTGCAGTCGCGAAAGCTTCAAATCAAGATATGAAAGTTCAGTTTATGAAATTTCACGTTAGCGCAATAGACAAATCATGTAAACTTTTCCACGAACAAGATCACATTTCCGCGTTAACGAAATTTCACTCCGGCCACGCGCCGTGAGATCGTCAAACGAGAAGCCACCCAGGTGACTGCGTCGTCTTCCATCGGTGGCGGCTTCGTCGTCACGGTGTCCCTGCAGTGCAGCAGTAGCGACTTCACATCACCTTGACAGTCATCCCTATATGCAGCACATCTTTTAGGGAGTTCCCTGAAAAGGTTAACTATTTTGGTTTGAAATGAATTATTATTCAATCGTTTGAATGTTTTTTTGTTATTTTTTGTTTTTGGATTTATAAAAGTGATATAGGGGTGGTTTATATTTTCAGGCTCGAGTAGAGTTGGAGTGGCTGTCTGAAACACATCCCTGATTTTCAATATTAACTTAATGGGAGAGCCGTTGCGAATTACGAAATTTTGTTTTACGCACATTTGTCAAAGAACGCATCCCTTTCGTAATTCGAGGGATGGCTTTGTATTGTAAATATATCCCTTGTTGTCATGCACTGCCTACATCACCCCAGAACTGGACATTGCACTCGCGCTAACTTGGTGAGCATCTTCACTATGAACTGCACACTTCGACGGCGAGCTGCTGCCATCAATGCAGATTTAAATTTTCACGCGTTAAATCAGTAGTTTCCCCGCTCAAATTGAGGGTGTGATATTGCAAAGCTCCAGTTTACAACACAAAGCCAATGGTGGAAACTCGACATTCCTATGGCAGAGGTGAGTCTTTTACCAAGACAACCACTAAATTTCGATTTAAAGCTTTCATGACTGCAGGGATTCATCTTCTTGGTTCATTCGAGAAAGTCACGTAGAAGGGAAATAATAAAATAATAAAAATAAAACATAATAAAATAATTATCACGACGTTTCGGCCACAACAGACGGCTGCTTGCGTTGTGGCTGAAACGTCATGAGAATTATTTTATTATGTTTTATTTTTATTCTTTTATTATTTCCCTTCTACGTGACTTTACCGAAAGAACCAATAAGACAACCACTGTTTATTTCCCAAGTAAGCGGCACAAGTGGTATTGCCCTCCCCACTTCGCTTGACAATAGCGATGTTGGTGTTTTTTTATTTTATTATTTCTATAATTTTTATTTTTTATTTATTTTTTACCTACGTGACTTTACCGAAAAAAGCTAAGAGTATGAATCATTGCAGTCACGAAAGCTTCAAATCTAGAATTAATAGCGATGTTGCCCTTTTAGCCAGAGGCCTGTTTATATGCATTGCCTCTCTTGCAAGCTCAAGCCGCAGAATTACAGCTTTCATGAATGTAGGATATGGACGACGATGCACAGCGTTCCTAGTTTGATGGATGTTACAAGCTCCGTAATAATCTCGTTACTGCAAATATCGTGATGGTATTGATGATTCGCTCTGGAGCCATCAACTCGACGAACACGAGTCGAGCATTAACGCGTCCAATTTTTTGTACCGAATTAAGCTGTTCTGTTGCAATACATTAATCAGATGGCCAGTTGTGATGACCTCGCTTTTCATTATTTTCTCGTATAAATTCCAGCAGGGAGGCTGGATGTTGTTTGGACACGTATTGAGAAGAGACAAAAAAGATGCAATGATAAGGGCTATGGAGATTAGAGACCCATAGACTCACACAGAGGAGAGCCGTAGACTCACAGAGAGAGAGCCACAGGTGAGAAAGGACGTATATATGCCACCGGTGCAGGGCAGGTGGAGTAGAGGGAGAGCGAGGGTGAGATGGGAGGATGCAGTGGAGCAAGTTGTCAGCACAGTGGATGCGACTTAGAGAAGAGGGACAGAATCGGAGCTCAGGGAGAAAGGAAATCCGAGCTGCTGACCCCATGCAGTAATGGGACTGTTTGTCTCAGAAGAAGATGAAGGAATTACTGCAAGATTGTCAACATTGAAGCATATTCTCCGTAGAAACTGGCTCATTGAAAAGTGTGCTAACCACTGGGCCATCCAGCCACATAATAAAAAACATAATTTGCAGTTCAGCCTCAGAAGAAAAGGACAACTATCCAATTATATAGAGGTTATGTGTAACACCTTGGCGACTCAATTCGCAAGCTTGAAAGTAATATATACGTTTAAAAATGAGAGCGAGATCAAAAAAATGTTTCAAATAATGAGCCCCAGTGAAAACGTATTTTGCTCAAGCTATGTAGGTGTGTGTTTGGTCACAGCAAAACACTTGTGCAGAAACACATAACGATTGTCGGCTTGTGTTTTGCACAAATGTGTGCGAATCGTGGTGAGGTTTTTATTTTATTTTCTATCTACGTGACTTTACCGAAAGAACCAATAATATCGGTTTCAAACAGCATCAGGTCCAGAGGCATCCGGAAGGACCCACTCTAGGCCGTCCCTCCTATACAGTGCCAAAGCTAATGGGGCGAAGGCTTTTCATTTGCTAATGTGCTAATGACACCTTTTTGCTGCGCAAAATGAAATCTTCTCACTGTGGCTCATGTTAGATTACATAATGTGTCTGCACAAAACCTGCAAGGATAAATAAAACGTTCGGCGTTGGAAATGAAGGTGGTATATTTGCCACAATATACAGGATTCCTGAATAGGAGGTAAGTTGGGAGTTCTTTGCCTGAAACGAATTGAAGCAAGGGCAATGGCGAGGTTGGGGCGGAGAAGTTGGAAAGAGATCAGAGTGGTTGTGAGAGATTTTCTTTCCATACCATTGCATGCCTCATTATTTTGTGCAGAGTGATTTTTTTTTTCAGAAGGGCGAGCGAAAATTATACTATTTGTATGCCGATGGAAATCGTGGCAATTTTCAGGAGGCACGGATGAATTTAGAAGCATAGCAATTCAGAGACCTTTAGAAAAGCCACAATGCCACGACTATGATCAATAATCCCCCAATGTCTGCAACTCAGATTCACAGCATGTGCTGTCTATTTTAATGGTTCATTGGCCTGAATAATCGCACCTTTCCCTTGAAACTTTATACACCAAAACACATACACTACTAAATCTTAGCATATGTCTACTTAGCATACAGAATATTCTTATTTGTATGCTTAATAAGAAAAACAATGGCAAAAATGTATTCCTGTCATTAATCTCCAATGCTACATTTTCATGAACAATGTAAGTGTTGCTGATGAAGTTGACAGTTACTCCTGCTGTTCCTAATTATAGTACGGCGCGTAGCAAGGTGTGCGCGTGTGCACGCAGCAAGGTGTGCGCGTGTGTGTGCACCCATGTGAAGGATGGCCGAGTGATTCGTACACACCCCGTGCAACAAACTCGGCAAACTGAGTTCGATTCTCAGCCACGGCTAAGATCAGTGGCGGGGATATCTGAAACGGTCACGGGCTCCCTTCCTCACCAACTCGCATGATTGCCCATATGGTCTGGGGTAGGCAACCAGCGGCTCATGAGCCGCGTGCGGTGGCTCTTTAAGGACTGCAGAGCGGCTTTTGAAATTCGAAAAAAATGGCTCTTCATGTTGTTTTGGTTGCCAATCCCTGACCATGGAAGTTCAGTTTACCATGGGAGTTCAGTTTACCACGGATGTTCAGCTCACCACTGAATTCCACATTACCATGGGAGTCCAGTTCAACATGCAAGTCCAGTTTACCTTGGAAGTCCAGTTTACAATGGGCAGGGGTCATCAGCCTGCGACTCCGGAGCCGTAGCACCTCTTTAAGGACTGCTTCGTAACGGTATTTATTGAGGACCGCCGTCTCGTGTTCACATCGCATCGCGGCTCTTGAAATATTGTGTTGTTTACCGAATTCGAAAAAAAAATGCCTCTTCTTGGGGTTTTTGAAATATGGTCAAACAACCGCAATGACTGACATGATGTGGGAAGTTCTTCTTTCAGCAGTTGATTGACAAAGGCTTGTTTATAATTATTCAAATTATGATTTGTTTACTTATGATTTAGTCTCTGTGGTATTTTCACGAACCTTGTCCCAGCCCCCCCCCCACCAAACCTCTCATTGCCGTGGCAATGTGAATACTCACGCGCCACACTGTCCCCCGTGCCCGTGTCCCGGCAGATACGGAGACATGGTGCCCAAGACCATCGCTGGCAAGATCTTCGGCTCCATCTGCTCCCTGAGCGGCGTGCTGGTGATCGCTCTCCCCGTGCCTGTCATCGTCTCGAACTTCAGCCGCATCTACCACCAGAACCAGCGTGCGGACAAGCGGCGCGCCCAGAAGGTAAGGCTCGTCGCTCGCGTTTGCACCGCGTCCCACGGGCCCGAGAGTGTCGTACGGCAGTCCGGTGAAACCGCCACCACTCAAGCCGTCGCCCCGCTTGGTGCCCCGCCTGGCATCGTCTGGACGATGTGCATTGAATTGTATTGTTTATTCCACGAACGTACATACATTACTCGTCTGTTCACGTACTGGGGCAAAGATCACCCTTAATCTATGTTGATGTTTTTGTAATTGAATTTTACTATGAATGGTTGTTTAATGTAATTTCGTAACTTTTTGTTTGTGGAAATATGGTTCATAATGATTGTTTTTGTGCATTTTTTTTTCGACTTCTCTCATTTGGATGTTCAGCGCCGATTTCTAATTGCTCAGTTGTTGTTCTTGTGTTTTTACGTTTTTTGCTTTTGTATTGTTAGTGACTCAGTTCACCCTTGCTAATGAGACTCTTTCCTGGTTAAACAAAACAAACTTGAAACATTGGTGAACTTTATTAATAACGGAACATCGCCCTCCTCCGGTGTGTTTTCAATAAACAAATTTTAAAAAAATGTTTGCAAAACGTGAAGGATTTCACCCGTCAGTGGATTTATTTCACTGAAGTGTCCGTTGACCATGCCGACAGGGTCAGACCCGAGACACGGCACCAGTTAGTTTGTGAATCCTCTTCATCCCCTTCGGGACATAAGGCAGCAATGAGTTCCCTCCACTTCTTCCTGTCCTTGGCAACATGTTGCGCCTCGCCCCACGAGAGGTTGGTCAATGCTGCAAGCTCGTCCTTCACTGTCTTGCACCACGTGGTCTTGGATTTCCCAGGTTTCCTTTTGCCCAGTGGTGTTCATCTTAGGGGCATTTTTTGGTGCATGGCACCAGTTAGATTGTCCCTCAAAGGCAACTTAAGCAACAGTCTTGATGCAGTGCCCGGCTCTGTATTGCTGATATCGCATGAACGTTTGTACATATCCATATTTGCATGTTTTAGAAGAAAGGTTGTTTCGGTAATTTTTGTGTCTTTTTATGGAAAATTTAAGTTTGGGTGGTTTTGATGGACAATAATATGGACGATTTACAAAAAGAATAACTGAAAACACATTTTGCATTATTCGTCCATATTTTTTCCTGTATATACTAGCCACCTACAATTTATATTTGTAGTGGTGTTATTTCACACGGACAACTCCTCGCGTTCAACACCATGCATCTCTGTCGCAACTCTTCCTCTTGTACTGCTCGTCCACCACGCTCCGCTCGCTCTCTCTCGCTCCGCTAGCCTGCTATGTTGCACTCTGCAAGTTCCTCCACTGCTAGCCTCTCACTACACACTCTGCTAGCTTCTCTACTGATAGCCTCTTACTATACACTCCGCTAGCTTCTCTACTGCTAGCCTCTTACTATACACTCCGCTAGCTTCTCTACTGCTAGCCTCTTACTATACACTCCGCTAGCTTCTCTACTGCTAGCCTCTTACTATACACTCTGCTAGCTTCTCTACTGCTAGCCTCTTACTATACACTCTGCTAGCTTCTCCACTGCTAGCCTCTTACTATACACTCTGCTAGCTTCTCTACTGCTAGCCTCTTACTATACACTCTGCTAGCTTCTCCACTGCTAGCCTCTTACTATACACTCTGCTAGCTTCTCTACTGCTAGCCTCTTACTATACACTCTGCTAGCTTCTCTACTGCTAGCCTTCTCACACTCACTCTTAGGATTCCGCTAGCCTCTCTACTGCTAGCCGGTCTCACACTCATTTCTCCAACCTCGCCCTTGCATCCAGCGGGGGATCAGCCAACACCGCTGTGAGGACGAGGTGTGGAGAGTGGGGACTTCTTCTCCCTGGTCTTCACTCCAACCCACTCCGCTCCCGTTTCCCCGCACATCTGCTCATATCCTCTCACTCATTAATTGCCCTCAGATCGCCCTCATGAACCCGGCGTCATCCCGACGCCTCTCGCACGTGTTCTCCCCCCTTATCGCCACTATCGCTCGCCTCTGTGGCGCCTACTCCGCGTCTGCGTTTGCAGCCAACCAATCAAAGCTATGCATCTTGATTGGTCGCCCCTTTCTGGTTGCTCTCCTCTCTGCACCTGTTCGCCCTGGCGTGACCTCACTGTCCGCAGCTCACACATGCCGTGCACACTGTTTGCAAACCCCCGCGTGCGTTACTCCACTACATATTCATTATAAGCGATATACAGTTATTTCTCAGTTTACGATGCCTTTGATTAACGATATTTCTATTGACGATCCACCTCACATAGGGGGTCCCCCATTGATTCTATTCACAATAAATGTTCGATTAACGATATTTTTACGATATCACGCGGCCACCAATTTCGGCCAATCCGAGTGCTCCTAAGTGGACTCGGCAGACCTCAGCCAATCAGTGACGGCCTTTTATGAGCATTTTGAGAGTAATTGGCCGCTAGCTTTTCAATGTTTGATGTGATTGTTCTCTTGAATACTTAGTGTTTTTTTTACTTAAAAGTTAAATAAGATCAATACCAATGGTACGTACTATGAATGTAAAGAAATCTTTTTTTAAAGTGAGAAAAACAATGAATGTGCAAATTATGCAGGAAATTATTGAAAATACGAAATAAATGTAAAAACAAGTGTTTCTAATTATATTAATGCTTTAATATGTTATAATAACGTTAATTCATTAAAATTGCGTGATTAAATATTACAAACTATCTTTTAGGGTGCAAAAGGTCCACTTCTGATTGTCTTGGAATAAATTAATACTTTAACATGTATTTCCTATATTCGATTCATGGTCATTTTAATTGGCGGTTTCGTGGAGCCAATTAATATCGTTAACCGACGGACCAATGTATTGTATGTCCACATTCATTATTATTATTAGGAAAGCTATCTTGAAATGTTGGCATTACATACGATGTACATTATAGTCACTATTGATCAAATATAAATTCTCAACAGAAAATCCCGGTAATTTTTTTTTGATGATTATAGAAATATTTGTTGAAAATATATGTTCTATACCAATGTATAGAACATAACCCTCTTTAATTGTACTAGGAAAGTTATTTAATGTATTCCCATTACATTGCTATATATTCATTAAAAAAACACATACATAAACGTCATTCATTTTTACTTTCCTAATTTTGTTCAGCTTGTAAAATGTAATTGAAGCCACATCTCCTTTGGACAAGTGACATGTTTACTGATGAAACCTGACAAGTTGGGCGGAGATAGAATTGGGTTCAATATCTCGTTCAATTTGCATGCAACATTCAGTGATTTGGCTGAGGAAATTATATTAACTAACTGCATTCCAGAGCCAAGTTTGCCTCGGGCACTCAGAGCTTGAACTAAGAATGTTACCAGACCTCAGCACCATCTAACTACTTTATCTTAATGTTCTTATGCACAACACATTATACAATATTAAGTTCTAAAATACGTTGTTGATGTTCTACTACATGTATAATGTATGCATACAATAACACAAATCCATACTACAATGTTCCGTTTATTGCCAACTAAAACTGTATAAAATTACATTTGAGTCCATCATCCAAATGGACCTTTTAGAACAGTGCTTTTCAGCAGCACTTGTTTATAAATGGCAACTTGTTAACTGGTTTCAACTTCTTTGAATCTTGTGAACCGGTTTCAACTTCCCTGAATCTCAACAAATGTTGTTGGATTGCCAGCTGTTTACAAAAAACTATGCAGAACCATTCAGTGTAAGCTTGTGGGTTCAAAGCCCAATCAGGGGTCACTTAGTCCCATTTCTTACCATTGGGGTCAATACAATGACATTCACGTGGGCAGTCCAGAGTGGCTAGTTGATGGTAGAGACTGCCACCACCATGGGAATGCGAAATTTCCCACCATAAGCAGATATGAGCAACGTGCCATGGTTTGATTGAGCAGATCAACTATCACTGGCAGCAATGATGAGAGCATTGCATGGCACAAATATATATATATATAATACTCTTTGGATCTTTCGGTAAAGTCACATAGGTATAAAATAAAATAAATCACGACGTTTCGGGCGCAACACAAGCGTCCGTCATCAGGTGGGAATGCATGGTCTGCTGCTGAGGCGCAGACTGTTTTAAAAGGTTTGAAATGGGTGTAGCTCAGGGGATATAAAGAAGTGGGCGGGGATAGTGATGTTAATGTGAGAAATTAGCATGTAACTGTAAGATAGGAGAGCGGCCTCCTCAACGAGGGCACGGAAGTGGCTATGTTCATGTGAGAGATTAGCACGATGTTAATGTGAGAGATAAGAGGGCACGGAGGTGGCTATGTTAATGTGAGGGATTAGCATGATGTTAATGTGAGAGGTAAGAGGGCACGGAGGTGGCTATGTTAATGTGAGAGATTGCCATGATGTTAAAGTGAGAAATAAGAGGGCATGGGAGTGGCTATGTTAATGTGAGAGATTAGCATGATGTTAAAGTGAGAAATAAGAGGGCACGGAAGTGGCTATGTTAATGTGAGAGATTAGCATGATGTTAAAGTGAGAAATAAGAGGGCACGGAAGTGGCTATGTTAATGTGAGGGATTAGCATGATGTTAAAGTGAGAAATAAGAGGGCACGGAAGTGGCTATGTTAATGTGAGGGATTAGCATGATGTTAACGTGATAAATAAGAGGGCACGGAAGTGGCTATGTTAATGTGAGAGATTAGCATGATGTTAAAGTGAGAAATAAGAGGGCACGGAAGTGGCTATGTTAATGTGAGAGATTAGCATGATGTTAATGTGAGAGATAAGAGGGCACGGAGGTGGCTATGTTAATGTGAGGGATCAGCATGATGTTAAAGTGAGAAATAAGAGGGCACGGAAGTGGCTATGTTAATGTGAGAGATGAGCATGATGTTAAAGTGAGAAATAAGAGGGCACGGAAGTGGCTATGTTAATGTGAGAGATTAGCACGATGTTAAAGTGAGAAATAAGAGGGCACGGAAGTGGCTATGTTAATGTGAGAGATTAGCACGATGTTAAAGTGAGAAATAA